GTGAGAGAGAGAGAGCGTGAGCGTGTGCGGGCATGTGTGTCTGCACAAGCGGGGGAAGGGCAGAGAGAGAAGGACAGAGGGAGAATCCCAAGAGTCTGTGCTATCAGCACAGAGCTCGATGTGGGGCTCAATCCCACAAACCCGAGTGATCACGATCTTAGCTTAAATCAAGAGTCAGATGCTTAGATGACTGAGCCATGGGGGGGGGGGGCGGGGTGGATGGCAGTTTCTTATAAAGTTAAATATACGCCCTATAAGCCAGAATTTCTACTTCTAGGTGTTTGCCTAAGAGAAATAAAAATTTATACCCACTCAAAGACTTGTACACAAGTGTTCACAGCAGCTCTATATATAATAGCCAACTTTTGTGCTTTAATTCCGGTCTTTAATCACTTTCAGCAGTATTCTGCTTCACTCATTAGTACCCCTGAACTGATATTTTGCAGAAGAAAGAAACTTCCCGCCCACCGGGGAGGAAGCAGTCCAGCCAGAGTAGGGGGGTGTCCACAGGAGCTGAGAGAGATTTTTAGGAAGCGGATTGGAAGCTTTCTGATGAGAATACAAGCCACCTGAAGTGTTGGGCGGGCTCTGTCTTCATTCCCAGGAGTGATGTAATGAAGTACCCATTGTAGACGGGGTAGCTTCAACAACAGGCATCCACTGTCGTACCCCTGGAGACAAGAGATGCTGACACTGTTGGTCCCTTCTGAAGGTTCTCTCTGGAGGGACCATCTGCTCCAGGCCTCTCTCCTTGGCTTATACATCGTCAGCTTCTCCCTGGGTCTATCCGTGTCATGTTCCGTCTGTGTGTCTGTGACCATATTTCAGCCTTTAGGAGGAAACCGGTCATCTGAGATTAGAGCCCACCCTAATGACCTTGTTTTAAGTTGCTTAAACCCTATGTCCAAGTGACGTCACATTCCGAGTTCCTGGGCGTTAGGGTTCCAACCTATGAGTCTTGGGCTACAACCCAACCTATAATAGGCTTGAAACATTTCTTTTTAAGGTCATGTAGAAGGTGTAAGCTAAGGTAAGGTGAGGTGAGGTGAGGTGAGGTAAGGTAAGGTGAGGTAAGGTAAGAGTGATCCCTGGCCTCTGAAGGACTTGCGAACACCCGAATTACCTCGGACTCAGATTAGCCAGCGCCAGGACGGTGTGATGCTCTGCCCTGTTCCTTCCAAAGATTGAGCCCAACTCCAATTTGACTTTGCTCTCCCAAGCAAGCATCGGTGTTTCACTATCATTCTTTAACCGTCACAGAGAAGAAGAAAAAGGAAACTTAGCTTCTTGGCTGAGAGGTTTTTCTGCTTGATTCTCACTTTTGCTCAATCTTAAAATTCCTGGTAAAATACACATAACATTAAGTTTACCATCTTAACCACTTTTCAGTGGACACTTCAGTGGTACAAAACACGTTCATATTTTTGTGCCGCCATCACCACCATCTCTGGATCTCTTTTCATCTTGCGATACTGAATATCGGTCCCCAGTAAACAATAACTTCTAATGGCCCCCTCCCCTAAACCCCTGGTAACCAATATTTTTTGTTTTAATCTCCCCTTTCCCCCCACACCCCAGCTTCTGGTAACCACCATGCTATGCTCTGTTACTCTGAGTTCAGTGGGGCTTCTTGTTTTTGTTTTAAGATTCCACGTATAAGTGAGACCATGCAGTATCTGTATTGCTCTGTATGGCTTATTTCACTGATGGGACCTCCTCCAGGTTTATCCATGCTGTCAAAAATGTTAGTTTTTCCTTCCTTTTTAAGTCTGAATAGTACCCCATCGTGTAGATATACCACATTTTCTTTATCCACGCATCTATCAATAGACATTTAGCTTATTTCTCTCTCTCGGCTGTAGTGAATAATGCTGCAATGGACAGGGGAATACAGAGCTGTTCACTCTTCGATTTCATTTCCTTTGGGTAGACCCTCGAGTTGGACTGCTTGATCTGCTTTACAGAAGCTCATTGTCTCAACAACACTGAGGACGTAGCTGCTGTCATCTTCTTGCAGTGGAGGAAAAAGCAGCTTTGTGTCTCGCCCACATTGTCCAAGCTGTCATTAAGTTACAGATAAAGAAAAAAAAAAAAAAAGACGGACTCCAGCACCATGCTCCTCTCACAGCATCGAGCTACTCCGCATACACGTAGAGCAAGTCAATGACACAAGCCCTGAAATTATTTATCCCAATGTGCGCACCTATGGCTAGTTTAGTTGGTACATAATCCACGATGTAGGGAAACAAAAGGTTGGGGAATGATGGCGTTAAAAAAGAGGCCCAGGTAAGTCCAAGAACGTTGAGACTTATTGGGGAAAATATGTGTCCCGGAGGCTGTACCTCAGTTGTAGGAATGTATGCGATTCTCCTGTCACAGCAGAGAAACCAAGGGGCGTGTTGCAGCTGTTGGGAAGAAAACAGCCCTGGGCAGCCACGGAGGGGCACGGGAGGCATGCACTCCAGAACCTCGGGAAGCCCCTCCATCCATTGACATGACAAGGGGAAGCTTCGTCCATTTTCATCGCCGTGAAATGTAGCGCGACGCTCCTCACCCGGATCCGATGGCGGCCCCTCACCCTTATGCCGCCGGGTGGCTCAGACGCAATGGGGCCAAGGGCAACAAAAGCCATTTACAAGGGACGGTGGCGCTAGGAGTCATCGATAAGATGTTCGAACCTAGTGTCGTTGCAACAGGTAATGAAGTAGAGTGTGGTGACATATTTCGTATCACCGTGGCGCCAGATTTAATGTCACTAATCTAAGCTTCTTGGAGGGAAAGAGAAAGGCTTTGCGGTAGCTCCCCTTCAGGGTGCTGTTCAGAAACAACAAAGGCCCAGGCCACATCTCCACAAAGAAGGGAGCTCCGTGGGCCCGAAGCACAGTGCTAATGAGCCCGGGGTCAAGAGGTCACTCTTCATTCCTGAAGGGCCTTTAGCCTCACTCTGCTCCTGGCGACAGATGGGGCCCTAACCTCACTCCCCTTTCGTCTCGCACATTGGGGGGGGAGGGGGAGAGTCTCGGCCACAGGAGGGCCAATTCATAATAATGTTCAGTGACTCGGAGAATAAACCCTCCCGTGGAAGATGATATTGCATCGCTAGGCGTATCGTGAACACCAAATCTTCCCCGAGGAGCTTCGTGTAGATGGAGTCATTTGACTGGTTTTCAGGTGAGTCCCTGCTTTCAAACGCCTCCTGTAAACTCCCGGTGAACTTGTAAGGGTCCTCACCCAGTCCCTCCCCTATTTCTGTTGATGTTGAACTCTGGCAAGAAACTAGGGGCACCTGCTGGTGCTGAGAACCGTACAGAGCGCCCTCCTGTGTCCTCCTGTGTCAGATTCTAGGGAGACCCTCTTCTGGGGTGCGGTGTGATCGGCTAGGGATTTCAGGCCAGTTGCGGGGGTGGGGGCCCCCAAGAAGAAACGGGCACACGCCCGCTCGGAAATAGTTTGTCTTTTTAAATATTTTCATCGAGCTCATTTTAGCGTCACCAGAAAGGTTATGTGGAGTCTGGGTATCACGGATTTTTTTCCTGCTCTGCTTTTAAGAAATCATAAAGAATTTCACCTGCGCTTCAAACACCGTCTGGGCTCTGTGCCTCTTTGAGAAATGATGTAGGCGGTAGAAGAATTATAGAAGTGTTGAAAAATAGACGGGACTATTTAAATGTTATTTATACTGAGCTCATTCGCTGTTCAGACCAATATTTTGCTATTAAAATTTGCTCGAGATTCCCAGAACCCATTCTCAAGTACACTTTCAGGAAAAAGTAGATGAGACAAATTAGGGAGGGAAGTTATGTAAAGAAAGATTAAACTACTGTGTCCTCGGTTTGGCAAAAACATTTTCAACCCGCCTTCTAAAAGGTGGCAAGTTTCTATCCCTTAGGAGATAGAAAACTTTCCTTCATTCCGTGGAAAGAGTGGCCTGGATTCAGAAACGCACTGTACCCTGGATTGTAATGAAGATGGAATTTCTGATTATCTTCTAGTCTGATAAATACTAAAAACACAATCTTACTCAATCTTATTGTATTGAATCCGCCAGTTGTGATGAACCAATAGTAAGAAGGTTCTAAACAGCGTGCAATGGGTTTCTTTTTAAATCATGGAGAATTAGACTCACGTGGTGATTTTGTGTGAGGGATGAGTACAAACTATGGATTTAGGAGAAACCGTCCCAAAGGCAGAGAGCTTTGGGGTGAGCACAGGGCAAGAGCTTTCCTCCACCTAATCCTTCTCTTTTGCGAATTTTAAGAACGCTCAACAGGTGTTCCCAAATTGTACCTACCTAACAACTACGCGTCGTTTTAAAATATAATTTTCAGAATCCCCGATGAAGATCAGGGGTAAATCCCTGCCCACAGGTGGCACATATTTATTTAGCCACTGATTAATTGCTGGTTATCCGCCGAGCAATTAATTGAACCACCCCTGTGTCGTTGGTGTTCAACGTCTAATAATTTAAGTTTCCAGGAAAACTTAACTTGCTTTAAATCCTTAACGATGCGTCACACTTAAGACAAAGACACACTTGTGAAATGTTACCCTCTCCATGCAGCAGGGCCCCTGGCTGTTTTCTGGAAGGGTCTTACAGCGACATTTAACTGCTGAGTATTTGACACCCAGCCTTTGTGAAAAATGGTGATTCTTATCAACGAAGAGGCAATTAAATGCAGTCATTTGGAACCCAGATGGATGGCGGATCTTATCACGCTCCGGCAATCGCTGTCTTTTCCAACTGGGAAGCAGATAACAGAAACTGTGCTGCGTGAGGCACAATAGCCTAGCGTGATTAGAAACCAGGCGGACTGGGGCTTCTCTGGAGTTGTACTCCCCCACAGGCTGAATTATAGCTCTCCTACCAGTCCCACGGCGCTGAATGATGTCATGGGATTTGCAGTTCAGCGAGATGAAAGGGATAAAGCAGAACCCGCTGGCACTAGGCAAAGCCTCCAACACACAATCCACAACACAGCTTGGGAACCGAGAAAGCGACGAATCCAGCCACTCAGCCCAAGCCTGGGAGAGCCACCGGTGTTGCAAAGGGGAAGGGGAAAAAAAAGGAGAGAGAGAGAGAGGAAAACAACGTGATCCGTGTTAAACAAAAGAATTTGCGGACTTTGAGGCGGGAGGGCGACTACCTGCCGAAAGGGAAACTTTGCTGATATTCGTGCATATGTATAAACTTAGCCCTGCCTTTGATGTTCTCCAACTGATCACGGATCAGATTACGGCATTTCATCTCCCTGCTCGTCTGCCTTTGATCTGCATGGTTAATTTTATTTTCCTGGATTTGAAGTTTCGTCTGGGCTTGTGCTGACATACATTTTTGGGAAGGGAGAAGCATTTGGCACAGAAATGCTGCCAAGGAGAAACTAAGTTGCCGAAAGGGTGAGCCCTGGAAACAGTTCAGCACGTTGCAGGTACAGAATTTCATGTTTTCTCGTAGGTTTCACTTCGCTTTTCCTGTGTGTGCTAAGGGGACGGCGGCTTTCATCAGTTGAAAGCAGGCATTTCTGCTCTTGAACGCTACACTATGTTTCAGGGGTGTTTTGGAGTAAACACGGTTCTCAGTGCCAGTTTAATAGTTGATACAAAAGAGTTTGCAGCGTGTCATGCCGATTGTACTTGGAAATGAGTTGTTCCAACAGAAGAAAACAGAGCGCTAACTTTAGCATACAAACCGCCTTCAGAGCCTGAGATCTGCAAGCTATAATTGCTCTAAGTATTTACAGGTTACTTTATTTAGTAAACAGGCTGGGGAACTTTACTGGATGCCAAGGCTTTCCTTCTTTTCTTGTATAAAAAGAGTATAGTGCATGTGTGGCAATATTGTGCCTTAGTTTATTTATTCTCTCACCTCCAAGATGTAAACCCATCAAATACATTTCCTTATGCAGTTTGCATCCTCCAGGGAATCACTGAAAAGGCATTCAAGTATGATTAAAGCCTTTATGTGTAAAACTGAAGCATTTTAAACCAGAGAGGGGAGAGTTGTGCCAAGTGTTGTTAAAAAAAATTCTCTGGTGATTTTCTGTAATCTTTGGAAAGAGCACAAGCCTTATTTACAGAAACATTCCCGCAGTTAGTATTCCTAAATTAACATTTACTTTGAATTTATAGTGACAGCTGTTGTAAGTTTCAATTTGCCAACTGTTTATGAAAACTATCTGGGTGATCAGCAGTCACCATGCTACATATAGGTTTCAGTCAAACTTTCACTTTGGTTTATACTTGACTTGGCAAAACCAAAATATATATTGTGGTGGATGCCAAATTTGAAAGTTAACTGTTGTTTTTTGTCAGTTCAATGATCACACACACACACACACACACGCACGCACAACTCACACACACAGAGAAATCTTTACATTGAGATGCAAGAATTTAGTACAGTGCCAAAGTCTGCGTTCATATCAGTTCTCTTTAGTGTTCTAGTCTTAAGTTTATTTGGGTAAAATAATTATCATCACAATGGTGTATTTTATGCTAGCTGAACCACAAAGAAATTATAAGTGATAAGATTAGTTATCCTTTAGTTTGAAATTTTGATGAAACAGGAAAGGTCTAATGAGCCTCATTTCATATGTAATTAATTTTCAGAGCCAATTAATTTAATTACTTTCTAAAGTTTCCTCCAGATATTAGAAGGAGGGTAATTAGCACTGTTTGTTTAATTTTAAAACTGTGATAGCTGTTAAGAGGATATTATTTAAAACCATACTAAGCTGACTATATTTTAGAAATGTGTCAGTGAGAATTTAATCTAAAAGATTTAACTGTTGTTTTTAGTCATGCCAGGAGAGGCATTTAAATTTTTGTTCTACTGACAATGTAACAACGCGTGTTCAAAATATCCTGGGGTATCAGTTTAGGTCGATTCTTTCATTTGTTTGCTGAAAAAACTCCTCTTTAAATCACAAAAGCAGTATTAATGTTCACATTCCAATAAAGAACATTAGCTTGTAAAGTAACAAGTGGAGAGGATGCCTGAAGAAATAACACGCTTAGGACCTTGATCATTTAGTTTACATTTGGAATTTATAAAACTTTGTAAATGATTGTTTCCTCTGCTACTAGGTTCGTTTTAACAGATACAAACTCTCCCCGGCACTAAACAAAAGGCAGAATTAGCAATTATCTGATTAATTTAGGCTTTGTAGGAAACTAGCTGGGGCAAGTCAAGTCCTTGAAAATCCACTTCAGTGTCTGAATTAATTCAGTTGATTGTTTACTTCTTGTGTCTTGGTTGAGAAATGAAACAGATTGCATTTGATTTTAAAGGAAAGATGGCTATTACTGAGTGTCCAGGTACAGTTTTTTCAAAAGGCATTTCTTAATTAATTGCCACATGATGAACTTGATTGTGACTTAAGCAGCCATGCTCCATTAATGCTTCCATGAAGGACAGACTTGTGTTACATTTTCAAAGCCCTCTCTTATCTATTGCTTCAATGGTAGCTTTGTTACTGTAGCAGGTCCAAGTCTTCAAAAGACCTTTAATTCTAGTCCTGATGCTGTCGCCGATTCGCTTTGTGACCTTAAGAGAGTCCCTTCACTCCTTGTTTTTCTTGTGGGTGAAATGAGGGAGTTGACTCTATCCTTGTGAAATAAGCAGGGTGGAATTTTTATAGCCATTTTGCAGATGAGAAAACTGAGATTAGAGAAAAGTTAACTGGATCATCCTAACCAAGGTCACACGGCTGGTTTTTCAAGTCCAAATCCAGTGTTCCACCATGCATTAGTCTATTTTCTAACCACTGCACAACAAATTAAATGCACTATGAGCTGAACAGAGAACAATGTTAGGCTGAGAGATAATGAGAGTGAGATAGCCACTTCCTATTGGAGTATATATATTTTTGTTTCTGCAATAGATACGTCAGTCAACTGGATTAGTCTGGTTATCTTCCAACTGTTCCTTTGGCTTCTGTATTTCTAAGCAGTCTGAACACAATTACTGCTACACATGATGGACCGTAATGTTTAAAATGATTTTTTTTTTTTTTTTGAGAGAGAGCACGCTCAGGCAGGGGAGCCGCAGAGGGACAGGAAGAGAGAGAATCTGAAGCAGGCTCCACGCCCAGCAAAGAGCCTAATGCAAGGCTCAATCTCACCACCGTGAGAGCACGACCTGAGCGAAATCAAGAGTCAGACATTTAATCATTTAAGCTCCCCAGGTGCCCCTAAAGTCACTTTGACCCAAAGTCAATGTCTCACTGCAATGTGGAATTCTTTTTTTTTTTTTTAATTTATTTCTAGGAGAGAGAGAGACAGCGTGAGCAGGGGAGGGTCAGAGAGAGAGGGAGTCACAGACTGAAACAGGCTCCAGGCTCTGAGCTGGCAGTCAGCACAGAGCCCGACGCGGGGCTCGAACCCNCATATTAAAATAAGATTATTATTGACAATTTTATGACAATAAATTTAATAACTATGATAAATGATGAATTCCCTGGAAAATTTAATTTTTTTTAAATGATTGCCACATTTTGTTTAATGTTTTTTATTTTATTTCTAGGAGAGAGAGAGAGACAGCGTGAGCAGGGGAGGGTCAGAGAGAGAGGGAGTCACAGACTGAAACAGGCTCCAGGCTCTGAGCTGGCAGTCAGCACAGAGCCCGACGCGGGGCTCGAACCCACGAACCGCGAGATCATGACCTAAGCGAAAGTCGGACGCTTAACTGACTAAGCCACCCAGGCGCCCCTGGAATTCTATCTATCTGTGTGAGTCTGCCTGTGTATGTGGGCATATATAAATAAGTTTATGTGCTTTCTAGGGACTCCTGCTTTCTGAGATGTCCCTGAAAAGTTTAATAGTTAATGAAATGTTGTTATTCATTGAGGGAGATTCCCAGTGGGATTTTTGTGAGATTTCACTTTGCAAATTTAATATGGCTTGCACATGATCTGCGTTTCGTACTATATTTATGTTAAGAATCCCTGAACGTGTTTTCTTTAGCTCTTTCTTTTCCTTTTTTTTCCCTTGGGGAAAAAAACATTTCTTGTGAATAAACTTAATTTATTTATTGACTATACACGCTGAACATAGATACTGCTCTTGAGGCCGAATAGTCATCCCCGTGTCTTATCATCCTGATAAAGTTTTCATATAAAGCTTTACTGATTATTATTCCGTAACAGTCACTAATATTTATTAATGCACTAATTATTAGTTAATTCATTGATACTTACCGAGTACTGTGTGCCAGGCACTCTCACAATGTTTTCTAAAATGTTTTCTCTCACAGTAATTGTCTGTCACCCTCACTGTACAGATGAGGAAAGCGAGTCTCAGAGGGACTCATAAATAACGTGCAAGATCACAAGGCTAATTAAGTGGCAGCACTAGGGTGTATCTGATTTCAGAAACACGTCTGTTCTAGGGCTAGACAACTAATTGTTTCCATCATAGGAATTGTATAGAGCCAACTTGACTGTTAGCAAACACTATAACCAAAGATTTGCCCAAAAAGCAGTTTCTATAGTTTTCTTTCTTTTGATATATTTTATAAAAGCTGTCAGACATTTTTTTTTGATAGTCTCCCATCAGTTAGCCTAGAATCTATAGCTACTTCAAGAGACAGAACTCAGGTACCTGCCAGTGGCTTAGTCAGACTCTCTTCTCTTTGATGGCAAGGGGGTAGACAGCCCAAGTCACCCTGGAAAAATGAGTACTTTGGGGCGCCTTGAAAGCGATGCTTTATAATTTTGTCAGCCCAATGTGGAAAAAAGGTGATGAAAAGGGATGCAGAAGGAGTGTCCCACGTGGCTGTGCTTAATGTCCCCTCTGCTGTCACAAGCCACCCAGCTTTGGCTCCTGAGTTGTTCCTCAAAGCCACCCACTTGCCAGAATCACCACTAAGTTACGAAGTCTCCCTTCCTTAGATTGACAGGTGGTTTCACTCCGTCCATGGTGAGTTCAATTTGCTCCTTGATGAAAAGAGGGAGGGAGGGGTGAAAGGGGTAGGTGGGGCTTTCCAGCAACTTTATCAAACCATTCCTTCCAGCATAATCCACCCTCTGTGAGAGGAGTTTGGGGAATCCCTATGGGCTGCTGCCCAGCAAGCCTGTTCCTCATTCAGCCACATGCAGAGGAGTCTGCCATGTTTATCAGAAAAGAGAGGAGGAGAGTCGAGGGCCCATTTATTTCTTCTGTCATCAAACACATGAGAAGTCTAACCAATGGGAGATGTCATAAATTCACAAAGATCAGTGCAAGTGCTATAACCTCTAACAACTTTCCTCTAAATAATCTCCTTGGCCTTTTTGTGTATATCGATTTATGCACGAGTGGTATGGTGACGATTACATTAAGATCCAGGGAGCCTGGATTTGGATTCCAGCTCTATTATTAACTTGTTGTGTGACCTTGAGCAAGTCACGCCATGTCTGGCCCCAACCCTACACTGATAATCTGGAATTGG